CCGCCAACAACAGGACCCGCTGCTGTGTTGTCAACAGTGGTCGAATAATCAAGTCAAACTTGGAATATTTAAATTGGAATATTTAAGCCCATTAGAAACGTGGTGTTCACTTGAACTTTGGGGTGAATTCAAGTCAGAAAATCAAAATCGTCAATGAGTTGATGATGGGAAGTCAGAAAATCAAAATCCCCAATCAGTTGACGATGGGAAGGCATGGTGAGCACACAAGGGTACCCCAGGACCCCCACCGCGGTGAGTTTGGGCATCTCCACCTTTCTGCAACCAGCCTGCTAATGCCCAGTGCTGCCGAGAGCTCCGGCTACCAGCAAAGCAAACAGAGAGCCCTCGGCCCCTGCTTGAGCAAGACCTCAGCCCATCGCTCGGTTTCGGAGCTTCTCCCGTTGAGTTGTGCTCAGCCGAGCACGCCGGGCACAGAAAGCCAAGTGCCCAAGCGTACTCACCCCGACAGACACCGCGCAGGAAGAAAATACACACCGATAGCTTGGAGCACATGCTACAGCACATTTTGATTTTGGATCCATAGGAAATTTTAAGTCCGTAGGAAATTAAATCATTTAAATTACGGCGATTACCACAGCAATGTTCTAACAACCACTTCTCCTCTTAGCTGGAGCTGAAGTGCCCCGGGTTAGAAGAACCCTTTGTCTAGGGTACACAAAATCTTTCCAACAAATCCTGCCTTCCAGAGATGGAGAAGGCCTCTTTCCACGCAAAGCCCTCCAGCTCTATAAAGGGCATTTGGAGGTTTCAACAAGTCCCTGAGGTTGGGCAGGCCCCACCGGGGCCCGGGTTGATGCCACCTTCCAGTGTGGGGCTCAAGCCCAGCTCCGAGGTCCACGCAGGCGTCCGCCCCCCCCGCCAAGGCAGCAATCGCCCTTTTCAATGAAACACCTCTTCGCAAGACCTGAAGTTGAGCGACGACGACGCTCGCATCTACATGCCTGTATTTCCCCAATAAAAGCGTGCTTCAAAACAGCAGAGCTAGGGGATTCATCGGTTTCTGATTTTTGTAGCAACAGGGGGGCCGTTTCATTAGACAACATTGTTCCAGCTACGCCAAGCAGCTCCAGACTCCGAGCGGAAAGGACGCAGAGCGCTCCTACGACGCATCTGATCATGCAAGAGGACACTCCAAGCGCTACATCCCGCGTCTCATACCAGATCCTCCTCGGAGAAAAGAACAAAAAATAAAACCCTCCTCCTAAACTACACGCTCTTCGCAAGTAACAAAAGCAAAAATGGTACAGCTTGTTAAAGATCACCATAAAGACGACTTTAAAAAAGACATTCATTCTGTTTGCAGCTGGTTTATAATTAAAGGGAAGCGAGGGTTACCAATAAAACTTTACCCTTTGCTCGTTCGCGCAGGATGCTGCTCACCCTGCATCCCCGCCAGCCGACCCACCAGCGGTGGGGACTCGCTCCACAGCGACCCGCCCCAGACCCCACGCACCAGGATGGGAACGCAGCAGGGAAGGGGACGCCGGCAAAGTTCAACCACCAAACTCAAAAGCTGCTGCTTGGCAAAATTTCCATCTATAAAACTGGAAAAGAGGCTTTTAACTTTTGAAATAATAAAAAAATAAATAAAACATCATCCCGCAGGGTGTCGAGGGACCCTTACCTCGTACCCCAGGCGTGCCGCCCGCTGCAGCAGCGTCTCCCCCGCGTTCTTATTGACAATGAGTCTCCGTGCCTCGGGTGGCATGGGTCGGCTCGGGGGG